GTACACACACTTTCAGATTTAGTCAATCAACCTGTTCTAATTCTGGACTTCGTACCAATTCCTGGAGTAATTTGTCAACTTTCCGGCATTGCATTAGTTAACCGCCCTAGCTTCGACAAAGTTGCACTTGAGCAGGAATCCATGGATGGAAGCACCAGGAAGCAAAGGGATTGCTCTAATTTGTTCGCTGCCTCGTCGCAGCACGCCATGACCATTGGGTGAAGCCCAATCTATGTCGCACGTTTTCGGTATCTGCGTGAGATATTGATATGTTATGGCACTTTCTTACTTGGCTATTTAAAATATGCTGTAAGTAGCTAGAGCTTTGCAGGATCACCGAGCTCCGACTTGCCATCAGATTGCAATTCACGTGCAAGGGCGCGATGATTATAACTTTGGTCTTATATCAGTTCCTACTGGTGTTCTCATGTTCTGGAGGTTTGTGCTATTTGCCTTTCTTCTACGTCGGCGACTTGACAGTGGCTCGACAGATTTGGCTTCCACGCTGCCTCCTCTATTGACGCTCTCCTTGACAAGGATGACCAATCTCTCCTCACCCTCGATACCCTTTTAGATGAAGACGACCTGTTACAAGAGTGCAAATCACAGAACACTCGGCTTGTTGATTATTTCCAGCGAGTGGATGTGCTTGGACGGTTGCTGGGCTGGGTCAGTGGTGAAGTCGGAGCAGCGAAATTCGACGACGAGGAGAAACAACAAGAGCAACATGGCTCTGGAATGAAGACAAATCGATTCAAGTGTGTCAGAAAATTCATCTCTTGTTTCTGTATTTGATTATCTACTTTAGATATCCCTACATTGCCACCGAAGTCCTCTGTTCCGAAATCTGGTCCATCGTTGAAACCTGCGTATCTACTCACCCAGACAAACTCTTGGTGCCGTTCTGGAATACCATGCTGGACAAGTCACCCGAAGAATTAAAATTCAGTGCTGAGAGCAATAATACACATGCTGCAGCTCATTTCGCTAAAGTAAACGCTGTGTTCCTGAGCAAAAAGCCGGGAGAGATGTTGAAGTTTATCCAAAGCCAGCCCGATATTGTTGCAAGGATATTACGGCACATTGAGAATCCTTCCTGCGTCGACTTGTTAGTGAGGATCATTCAGCTGGATGAGTATGTTTATGGATATGCCGGCGCAGTTGGGGCACTCCAGGTTCGTCCATAATCTTTAAACCTAGCTGGTACTCATTTTCCGACGCATAGTGGCTTTCCTCAGAGAAACTTATACCTCGTCTCATAGATATGCTGTCCCCCGCCTATCCGCCCGACATACATCAAGTGGTATCTGACTTGATAAAAGGCATCATCTCGATGGCAACACCATCCCCTGGTGCTGGACTTACTCCCAACGGTCCCGCCACATCTAATCCTGCAGCGTCTGACAACGGAGGTACGGGTGTTTCCTCGAACCAATTCGCGCGCGAGTTAGCGAGAGAGGACACTGTGTCGAAGCTAGTGGCATATATGTTGCAAGATTTTTCTACATCCATACCCGAACCTACCTTTCCTAATGGTGTCAGAGCAACGCATTTTGAATCAGCCTCGTCGTCGGCCCTTCATGCTATGGGGGTCCTGATCGAGCTCATAAGGAAAAATAATTCCGATTATTTTGAGCCATTTCTATTCCATACGTTGAGAAATAGGCTGATTAGAGTTCAGCGACCAATGATGCAACAAGGGTGAGTTTGCACTGTTCCGCTCAAGATTTGTGGTAATGTCATTTTTGCAGCGAAGGGCAGAATGAGGGGACGGATGGTCGTGACACCCTTGAACGTGCCATGCGGGAGATGGTCGACCGGATGGGCGTGGTCAACCTAGGTTTCGTGTTAACCATCCTTTGTGATAATGGAAGACTAGAACGACTTGTGAATTATCTTCGGAAGCCACGGTCGTTACTTGTGGAAGAAGGGGTGTGTCCTTTGCCGTATTTTTTTGCCGTGCTTATTCCTTACGCCCTCTAGAACGCATCTAACTTTGTGCCCACTCCCGCTCTTACATTCGAGCGTTTCCGTATCACTGAACTGCTTGCTGAACTGCTACACTGCTCTAATATGGCATTGTTAAATCGACCGCTGCGGTATGTCCGCTTTTTTGTCTTGGTCTCGTCGTGCTAAGGAAGACCGCCAACACGAGCGCTGATTGGATGTTTTGCATGATTTCATCCCTTTTCATGCAAGAGCAGATATCAGCACCTCTATGACGCCGAAGGTCGCCTTCAAGGTGGCTTGGGTGGACTGGAAGAATTGGCAAGAGTGATTTCAATGGGGAACGATGACGATGTCGGAAACGACCATCGAATTGATGGTAGAGATGAAGACATGGACGCCGAGATTGAACCGGCTTTGGAACTTCCTATCACCAGCGCATCGTCGACTTCTAACACATCTTCATTGCTCGACTCTGACGAGGATGAAGATATGTCTTCAAACTCAGAAGATGATAGTATGGATATGGAAGAGATCGCGATGTACGACGAGCCTCAAATGCAATCGACAACTGCAGAAGTTTCTTTACTTTCTCCTGAAGCCGACATGCGTACTGCTGAACCTTCCGAAACAAATTCTGTGCCTCCCAACGTATCCACAGCAAACAATGGTCCCTCGAGACAGGGATCTGTATCGAGTTTCCAATCACGGAGAAACTCGCGGCGGTTGACTTTACCTAATCATTCCGCGTCTCCAGTGGAGACTGCCCTCGTTGTTGGCGAGAGGCTAAAGATGCGATTCCTGGAATTGAATGTTCTGGGTGTTTTATTGGTCAGTCGCTAATTGACGGTGTCTGCTTATTATAGCCATGAATCTTACTTGAATTTAGGATCTCTTTTTCGAGTTTCCCTGGAACAACTTCTTACACAACGCGGTGTACGATATCCTTCATCAAATCCTTACAGGGCAGGTAGATAATAGTTCGCACTTACGCGAGGTCAGCGAGACACCATTAAAGCAGAGGAGCGATTCAACTTCAGTAAATTGCAGCGTCGAGGGTAGCAGAGGCTATAATCGGGCCCTCATTCTCTCCCTCTTCCGTGATGCAAAACTCATGCATAGGATTGTCGAAGGGCAGACGCGGAATGACGAAGAGAGCGCAAAACCTCGTACACCTCGCCTTGGATATATGGGTCATTTAACGCTGATATCCGAGGATGTGCTCACTGCTCTAGATCGGTATCCTTCCTCTTTGCGTGATCAGATCATGCAGTATGCTCCCAAGGGATCAGATACTGAGTACGGAAAAGGAAGCTGGGACGAGTATATCACTGGGAGGTACCATGAAACGAAGGTCCGGGATACACGATTACTCGGTGGAGGCAAACCTGCCGTCGGCTTGAATGGAGCTGGAGATGTAACAACAAAGTGGAAGATAGATGAAGAGGAAATGGGCATTCAAGCTGCTGCTTCGACCTCCATATCAGACAACAAACCTGCCGGGAACGAGACACGTGGCGAAATTCGTCGTTCTATGTCGTCCACGTTGCGACGGGAAGGAAGTGCAGATTTCGGAGTTGCGCCAACGACGATGGATGACGATGATGACCTTGTTGCGGGACACAGCGTTAGTGATTCTATTCACATCATCTACTTGTTGGCCACTAATGTATCGTCCTCTATAGCTAAGAAGATTCGACGACGACGATGAGGACGAGGATGGCGACGAGGATGGAGGGTGGTTATCCCAATCTAGTAAATTTTCAACCATGTCGGAGCGGAGACCGTTGGGGGTGAATGGGTTCGATGTAAGTCCATCACTAACGCAATGATCATTTTTGATTCATCTTCCATAGGACGTATTCACCCCTGGGACGGTGCACACGAGAGAGGAGCCAAAAGACCCGTTCGCTGATGTAAGTGGCTTTGCAAGTTGGCTGATATATTGTACACTGATGTGATCTTGTTTCGTCGCAGGACGATTTTGGCCCATTCACGGCTCCGAATGCCTCTAGTTCTTCAACTCCAGCCAACTCAAACGATCCTTTCTCGTCATTTTCTTCATCTTTCTCTGACGAAATCGCATTCGAAGGGATAGAAAGCCTCGACGACAGCGCTTTTGATGATAACTTTGGAGACTTCGGGGATTTTGGAGAGTTCCAAAGTGCTGGCGCTGCTCCCGATACACCTTCTGTGAATCGTCCTACTGTTGACGGCGTAGAAGACGGAGGTGATCAATCAGACGGCGAGCTTACTCCCATAGCAGGGAGCTGGATATCAGATCTTTCTGCGAGTGAAGGTGATGGCGACTCGCTAGGATCCATAGATTCTATAGGGTCACCAGAGGGCGTAGGTACAGATCTCACAGGAACATCAGGAAGTGCCGAGGAGAATGTGAAGGAAGAGAGGCCATTGAAATAGTTGTTCTAGTTTGGAATCAGTATCATCCTTTTCTTTGTGCAAGATATCCTCCAAGTGATTGATCAGAAAAAAAGCACAAGACGTATCTTCAAGGTAGGCAATGAAATAATATCAGGAACTAACCAAAACGACATGATTCAGAAATAATGGACCTGAATCTGTCGAAAGCTAACAAACTGAAGTACACGAACATAGACAGATCTGAGTCTCCATTTTCATAGCTAGAACTTCTAAAAAGGTCTGAGCTGACGTCGGCACTGGGGTACTCGCCACGTACGCGTCCCGTTGTTCTTGCGCTAACAATGACACACAAACTCGTTCAAGTTCATCTGCTTCTGCGTGGAGATCTGCATCATGAGGATGGAGAGTTAGTGTTATCACAATGTCTATAATGTATGCGTTATCGTAAGTCGAAAGCTCAGGCTTGTACTGAATTGGAGGCATTTTCAAAAAATAGAGATCAAGGCTCGTAGTATATAATCCCTGCCTCCAGTGATGTTTACATCCATGTCGACAAAAGTTAGCCTGCACACCAACTTTTGTTCTTCAACTGAATGCACGGCTCATAAAATAAAGCAGTACATACAGTATTGTATATACATACGTTTCTGTTCACAATGATGGAAAAAAGATGGTCAACGTGGGGATCGAACCCAAGACCTTGGCGTCAAGGGCAACAACCTTGTATTAGCACCACGCTCTAACCAGCTGAGCTAGTCGACCACTAGCATTTTCCGTGAATACGTGTGTTAATTGAATGGCAATTGTCATTTTTTCCTTTAAGTAGTGTAAGGTATCCTTAATCTCGTTCCGGTACCCCTTCCGACAACCCTTCGGATGCCTTCTTTGCCAGTTCATAGGATTCGAAGCCAAGGGATTTCTGTACCACGTCTTCCGGTGCATCAGGCTCAAGATGACCTTGCTGGTTTCTTCGGGCTCTGGGTATCAATTGTGAGAACAGTAGACACGTCGATAAGACGTGTAGCAATCACCTGAAGAATGTATAGCTGAGCACCACGTCTTCAACATTCCTACAACTCGGGTCATCTAGTACGTCCTTGTCAATGAAGAATAAGAGAGGCATATCAACGGTCTCTGAAGAGAGGAGTTTCTGTTCGTCGAAACAAAAACATTCGATTTTTGAGAAGTATGGAGCAATCTTCAAAATAATTGAGGTGTGAGCATCGAGGAACGAATATCAAGAAGAATGTAAATTTTGTTCGTCGGACATACTTACCCGATCGGGAGTAACGTTGTATGTCGCAACACCTATAATATCATCCTTGCTATTATTCTTCGCCGTGTAGAACGCAAGAGAGCTTTCGCCTGCCGGAAAATACCTGTCAGATTTTATTTGACTGAATATTAAACACGCTTTGGAACGTACCGGGAAGAACATAGACATGATGCTGAGCAGGCTTGAACGTCCATGGGAGTGCCGTGGAAGTGCTGGATGTAAAGGTGACTTTAAATCTCCTTGATTTTGGATTATCTGCAGGATCCACAGCAATCAGCCTGGAGGGAGCAAACCGATCTTGAGCTGCAGTAGAAGGGGAGAGAAGAACTTTGAGCCATTCCGGCATCCATGCAGGGAATTCAGGTCCAGGCGCAGCCTGGGTTCTTGTGCTGGGTGTGCCAGCGAAACCGGTTGCGGAGCAAAAAAGACGGTAGAGGGGAACGGCAGCATAGGTCAGACCTAGGAAAGTTATAATCTACATGAGAACAAGGTACATGAATGAAACGAAGAGACACATAAGTTAGATAGGAAGCATACCACAGCTCCAGTATACATCAATAGGGATCGATTTTTTTGAGCACGTACTGCGTACATTTCTTCCCTGGACCGATACCGCAGAGCAGGTCCGGGTGTAATAGGTCTACGAAATGCAGAGGCAGACGATGATACTGAATTCTGATCTAGACCAGAATTTGAAGCCATTCGTGCCCATTGCTTCGACGACCTGGAGGCTATAAGCAGCTAAATAGAACGTTAAGAGATGTGATACAAATTCACTCCAGGTGAATACCTACGATGGTTTTCTTGCCTGTCACTGGATACAAGGTCGTGTCAGGAGAATTGATGGTGTGAAATGCACTTCTACATCTGAAGCTATCGAGGAGGGCGTGATGAGAGAATGATGGATGTGTATGTCGAAGTAAGCGAATCAAAGTTGCATTCGCGCTCATGACCGTTGTGAAGAAGGTCTCGGGCCGCACTGCCGTCTTGCATCTCTTTCTGTCCATATATTATTGTGGTTACTTGCCCCCAATGTCAACGTCGAGTAACGCCGCTGCCGGCCCATCTAATACAGGTTCAAGGGGCAAATTCTCACCACCGCGCTCATCAACGGTAGACGTAGAACTAGAGAAATTACTCTCAAGAGAGGCATCGGCATTCCAGAGGGAAGTTGAAGTAGAAAGGATATTGAAGGCCTTCAAGTTAAAGTAGGTTCAATATGCTTATAATATGGCTTTCTCAGTGATTATGAATCAATATGCAGTCCCTATGATATTTTAGATCTTGACGAAACCGCAACTCAGGACGATATCAAGAAAAAGTACAGACAATTATCACTATGTATGTCTCGTCTTCTTGTCGATTTCCTTCCTAAGTGCTTTACAAAGTCATCCACCCGGATAAGACACCTCACCCTCGTGCACCGGATGCCTTCGACATTCTCAAGAAAGCAGAATCAGAGTTGTCTGAAAAATCAAAGCGCGACGAGTTAGATGCACTGCTAGCTCAAGCCCGAGCCCTGTTGGTGCGCGATATGGGCTGGTCAATTAACACTAAGGCAATCAAGGAACTTGAAGCAAGTGAGGAGGTAACAGCCCTGGGTGGACTCAAAGTTTGGAGAGAAAAAGTCAGAGCAAGGACCAAGGAGCTTCTGATTGACGAAGAGCTACGACGGCGGAAGTGAGTTTTGTGCATCTCTTACTTAAACTACACATACTGATCCTTTCTAGGGCTCTTCAGCTCGCACTTGCCAACGAAGGATTGGAAGCACGAAAGAAAGATGAAGAGGTAGCTAGTCGAAAGAGAAAGGCAGATGAAGACAAAGCTTGGGAAGGTATCCTATTTGTCTGACTGTTTTTCTTCGTGTTTTAACTCATCCGCCCCTTCAGCAAATCGCGACCAGCGTGTCGACTCTTGGCGCTCCTTCGCCAACACCAGCAAGAAGAAGAAGAAGAGTAAATCCGCAACTCTTCTCGGGTGATGCGTTAGGCAATCGTGTACTAGTACTATCTTTATCAAATATATGTTTTTGACTGATTCCCCAGTTCTTAATTATTCTCCTGAACATTTTACAATGCCAGTCGCACAAGTATGATATGTTTCTCAGAGCGAGGTTCGATGCGGCACTCAAAGGGTGCCGGGGCACTGTGTATCCAATACGTGAGCAGACGACAAGCAGATTTATACAAAACATACTTCAGCAGATTCGCGCTATATTCAATTTTGGGATGGACAAGATTTCCATCCTCATCTAATGTTAAAGGAATGCAGGAGCGATGTAACATTTATCTAGAATGAAGAAAGGCCCATATGTTTTCCAGGACAGACTCTGTCGGTATATGACGATTATCGACAGTTAGTCAAGATATTCAGATATACCAAAGTATGTCTGTACCTCCCAAAACCAAAACTTATTGCGATGGGGTCGCGCATGTCGGGATTGAGTTTTTAGCGTGCTTCTACAGAGTCTGTCTTTTCATCACACCGTGTCTGGAGGAGCCAGCGTCTCGGGTCAAATATATGTGCAGTAGGACCATATGTTTTTTCGTCTCGGAGTATTGCCCTGCAATGAAAATGAGCAGCAGAATAGGTTTTCGACTTGAATAAAAGAACATGTTTGACTAACCAGACGTTTGGTATTCTTGTTGAGCCCTTTGGAATGTAGTAGCCTCTATAGATGGGCTCTCTTATTCACGTACTGCCACCATCTCGAAATTTCCCACGGTTTAGCAGTGGAAAACTAGAGCCTCGGAGGCAAATCAGCAATAAGTAGAGTACTAAGACCACACTATCTTACTGCGTCCAAACGCAATCAAACCGTAACGGCCTTAGGTGTAGGGCCTTCACACTATACATCAAAAATCACAGCCGTGAAATGTCGCGGCAAACAACCATAAGCAGCATGGGAAGCTTTCAGAAGACAACGAATAATAGAGTGACGGGAACGGATGCAGTAAATGATTCCATGAATGAAATCAGTACTAACAGTGCATCTATAGCTATTAATCCTAAGGAAAAAGCAACGAGGGATTTCTTCACTAGCAAAGCGGCTATCTTAGGTTCAAACCAGCTAATAAAAAGGGACAACGTATATGGAGCGCTGTTGAAAGCAACTCATCTCCCAAAGAAAGACGTGGAAACGGCCCTAAAGGCAGTAGAACATGGCATCGTGTTGCTAAAGAAGATGGATGAGAAGAAAATGCAGGATGAAATAGCGGCGAAAGTTGTCACCTCAGTTGAGTCTACCATAGCAAAATTAGATCTTGCACAACAGTTACAGCACCAGATTCAACAGGTCAAGACCGAGATCAATGAATGCCTCGATTCAATGGCGAACTCAATCACTGGAAATGGAGACAAGATTGACAGAATCACAAGGGGTAGTCAGCCAGCCCCTCAAGGAGGAATGTACACTGTGGCCGCATGTGTGAGCTCACCGACGGGGATAGCAGTGCCGACACAGGCAATGGCAAGGCAATGAATCCATGCACATGCAGAAGTCAAGGGCAGACAAGTGCTTCTGATCAACACCGGCAACAAAGCAGCAAAAGAAATGGAAGACAAAGAACCAGAACAGGTTCTTCGATACCTCAATGATATCCTCATAAAGATGGGTGCCCTGAACAAGGGCATTTTTGTTTCTGTATCAAAACTACATGAAACTAATAATTATCTCACAGAAATGAGCTCAACAGGCATAGCAGAGTGGTTCAGAGCCATTGAGCAATCTGTCCAATTCACTGTACTCACGAGAGAAGCACTGAACACTGCTGAGTGCGAACACAAGGTTATACTGCACTTTGTCCCAGTTGCCTTTGCACCTGACAAATTCCCTGAACTCCATATGGTGGAGGAGATGAACAATCTGCCGGCATGTTCTATAACAAAAGCAAGATGGGCTAAACCAGTCCAATGTAGAAGAGAAGGGCAGCAAGTAGTGAGCCTGCTGGTATGTTTCAACAACCTGAATGTTGCTAACAAGGTACTGCTTTCAGGTGTGATCATATGCAACAAACAAGTTGAGGCAGAGAAGACTGTACAGGAGGAATGGTGGTGCTTCAAGTGCCAATGCCTTGGGCACATGGCTGTACACTGCCTGGACAGTGACAAAAACACCTGTGGTAAGTGTGGGGAGAGTCACAACACAACTGACTGCATGTCAGATAAATGACACTGCATCAATTGTGGGTTGGACAATCATGCCAGCTCAGATATGGAGTGCCTGATGTTCCAGCAAAGATGTGAGGCACTCAATAAGAGGTCACCCACCAACCTACTCCCCTTCTTCCCAAGCAACAAACAGTGGACCTGGAATGACAAACCAAGGAATGCACTGAGAACTGGACCACCACCAAAAGTCACATTCCAGCAGGAGTGCAATAGGCAATGGCAGATGCAGCTACCAAACTGGAATCAACCCAGGAGATATGCAGTCAACATGCTACCACTAGGTGGAACCCCGAGAGGATGGGGCTTACAGGAACCT